TTTTTTGCACGTAGGCCGGTAAGACTCAAAATTTGACAGGAGCCCGCAAGGTTAAAGAATGGTTGATACCAAACTTTTCAATAAAATAAATGAAAATAAGAGAGACAATGGAGATTGTTTTTGTCTCATTTTGATAGTTCTTTCTAAGAAATTCTAAGAGACAAGTAATCAACACATCAATTCAAATTTTAAAGTGCCAATTCTAAACTATTTTTCTATTTTTATTTTTAAATTTATTTATAATTATTTACAACAGACAATGTTGAAAATTTCAAAATTTAAAGTCTTAACTTTTTAAAGTGGACATTTATTTCGAGATAATCAAAGATAAAGTAATAAACTAATAAAATGAGAAGAAGAGAGTAGTAGAGAAAATAAAATATCTGAAAAAAAACACAAAAATCCGTGTTTGTTTGGTTAGATTTTTTAAAAATTATTTTTTTAGATGATTCCTGTTTATTTTTATTGAATTTTTATTAATATATATATATATATATATATATATATATTACTTGATAAATTTAATCAAGATGTATTTAAAAAGTAAAAAAAAAAAATTGAGCAAAAATATTCAAAAAATCACTAGTTTTTAGTGATTTTATTTTTCATATTTTAGATGCAAAAAGTTCAATAAAGACAAATGGAAATCTTTTTGAAAATAATTTTTAAAAGCTGTTATAAAACAAAATTGATGGTGGTAATTCACAAAATATAGCATAGGTCTTGTTAACAAGTACCTTCAGGACATAAGTAAAAGATAAAAAAAAAAAAATTGAAGAACGCAAGACTTTTTTAACTAAATTCAATAGCCTCCGTTTGGCAAGTTAGTGTTGAGGTTTTTTGGGTTAAAATAGGCACAAAAAATAAAATAGATTTTTTAACTCAATAAGACAAAACATCACATTCAACCCATAAGCATAACATTCTTTTTCTTACAAAAAAGTCAAAAAAACCAAAAATCCTTCCCAAATCAGACTTTTTAGCCCCGGACTAAAATGACCAAAAAAACTAAAAAAACCAAAAAGCCAATCCACTTCCCAAACAAAAGTTTAATATACTTTTTAATATTTGTATATATTTTTAATAAACTTTTTACTTTTTTTTCCCCTCAACATTAACAATGTCCATGGGGGCACTTGATAGCATTAAATATGATTAACCACGGGAGGTTCTATTTACCCACACCAAATCCACTCAATACACACATTTAATGAAGATGATGTGCAAAAAGTGTAGTGAGGAGCATGTGCAAAAAGTGTATATTATGTGTGCAAATAGAAGCTCCCGATTAACCACCTCTACTATCATAGAAATTGTATCACAAAACCCAAAATACCCCTTTTGAATTTCTTTGTATGTACAATTTTATCTACTTTTCTTGACCCTTTAAATGTTATTCTATTTGTAGTATTATCCTACAATTTTTGTTTGTCTAGTATAAAAAAATGAAATAAAAAAAGGTAAAATTGAGGAATTACAAAAAAAATAAAAAATAAATAAAGAGGCTGAAAAAGAAGGATAGTTTGGCCCATGAGAAAACGAATTTTTTTTAATACAATACATTTATTATCTTTTTAATTTCTATGATAGTAGAAATTATTAATCATATTTATTCTTAACAAGCTTGTTAACAAAAACTCTTATAGAAAATACTATCAACCTTTTTGGTTTCATTTTTCTGAGTTAATTTTCAAAATTTTGCTCTAAAAAGTATTTTTTAAAAATGAATCAATGTTTGGTTGTTCCAATTTTTTGAATTTTGGAACAACAATTCAAAATTCCTTCCAAAATACAATGAGAATTTTGGATTTTAGGTCTAATAAGATACAATAACTAATCATTAAGCAGTAAAGAAAATAAATAAATGAAAATAACAAATTAGAAGTCACATCAATATTGACAGAAATGCATTCAGAAGTCACAAACAAAACGCATCCAGAAAATCTAAAGAAATGCATTCAAACGTGATTGATTAAATTATTCACATGTTCCTCACAACTTTTTAATTTTTCAATTGAAAAAAAACACACACTAAATTACTTATAAATTACTGTTCTGTCTTTGACATCAATAATTGTTAACATTTCAAATTCTTAGCCTTTCAAACATTTGAGTAAACCACAATATTTTAAGTGAATATGATAGGTGCAAGACTCCAAGTAATAATTTTAGGAAGTTTCATGTTCCCCTCTAAATTTTTATTAAAAAATTAATGATAAATTACATTGTTAATCTCTATACTGTGGCCCTTGTGTCATTTTAGTTTTCGTAATTTTAATTAAATCAATTTTGACTTTGAATTTTTAACTATCTCAAGTTGGTGCTATTGATTTTAATTGTTAACATTTTTTTTGGTAAATGTACATATAAATGATATGTGTCATATTTTTATGAACAAAATTATAAAGCTAATCAATTCAGTGACCTACCCTTAACTTATTCAATAAAAAATTTAGTCAAAAATCCTAATGGCGTTATCAACTGAACCAAATTGATGTAAAATCTAAAATTAATGGTCAAATTTGAGTTCATTGAAACTGTATGATTTGAATGACACAAGTGACAAAATGTAAAGACTATTGGTGCAATTTATTCAAAAATCAATTTAATATTTATTATTTTAATAATATTAATTTTATACTTAAACTATTTGATTTTAGATTAATTTTACATCCACTGTTAGCTAATATCTATAATCAAACAAAAGTTGTGACGTTAAACCTTTGTTTGAAAGTTTATTTTATTGTCTAAATTATCCTTAAAATATCAATTACACCCCTAAATATAAAAGAAAAAAATTAAATTTAAATATCTAATAATAATTTTCATCTAAAATAATGAGAAAAATAAATTTTAAATAATAAAATTTGACCCAAAAAAAAATAAAAAATATACTTCATTTAATATAGTTGCTTTAGGCCTCAAATTTCCTTGTGTCAGCGTTAGGGTAACTATTCAAAATTATGAGCCTACTCTCTCTTTGCAATAGTAGCTATATTATCTCCCACATTAATTTCAATAGGACTGATCAACTAGTAGTAAGTTGAAAACTGTGAGTAAAAATTATCATCGGAGATAAATATCTTTTTTTTTTCTTTTTTTACAGATTTGGGAAACGATATTAAACAATGAAAATTATTATTAGATATTTAAATTTGATTTTGTCATATATTCAAGGTCTAATTGATATTTTGAGAATAGTTTGAGAGGTAAAATAAAATTTCAAAAGAAGTTCCAGTGCCATTATAGACAGCAACTAATAGTAGCGATAAAATTGATAAAAAATTAGATAATTTAGATGTTACATTAATATTATTAAAAGAACATGAGTTGAATTAATTTTTGAGTAATAGCTTGAGGGATAAAATATAATTTTCTCTAATAATTAAGTCCATGTTTGATATCTAAATTAGGTTGATTGAAATTATGATTACAGTGAAATTAAATAATGAAATTATTAATCTGCTGGTATGAGTTTAGAGGTATAAGATAAATTGATGGTACTAATTGATTTGAATTAAATATATGAAGTTACATATAAAAATTTAATATATAAAAAAAGGGTTAGACTTCTATCAGGGACTGGACGGTGTTGTTGGGTGCGTATGGCATACCATGTGTCATGTTTCACTAATCCAAATCATTTAATATGTAAAGTCGTCGGGTACTTTATTTCTGTAAAAAATCACATTGATCGGATATCGATAGTTACTTGATCGAATCAGATTTCTGTCAATGGTACATATAATTTTCAAAATAAATTGTTGAGAAAAATCTGATCCGATTAAATAGTTATCGATATTCGATTAATATGATTTTTTATAAGAATAAAGTATTGAATGAGTTCTACACATTAAACAGTTAGAATTATCGAAACAAAATCCGTGATGACCCATATGCGTCTAACAATACTGTTCAATCCACTGTGAACTGGAGACAAACCTGACCTCTAAAGGAAAACTTCATCGTTTCTGTAAAATGAGGATAAAATAGTCCTTTCACCGTGTAAGTAGGATTAGGAATCCACCTCCTGTGGGAATGCTAATAGGAGGGATCGATAAGACTATCTCATGCCATTTTTCACAATCAATATGATTGGTGTGGGACTAGTGCAGTAAGAACTACCTAACTTTTTGTTTACGGGGATCATGAAAATTTCAAAAACCAACTCTCAAATTATAAATGGAAAAAAATCTTAGGATTAGTTTGAAAAGTGAATTTTTTTATTTTATTTTATTTTTTTAAGTTACTGGTTAGTACTTTAATTAAAATATGAAATGAAAAAAAATGAAAATATTTGGGAATAATTTTTTACAAACAAAAGTCCGAAGAGTAGAGAAACTGAAAGAAATATTTGACTTTTTAACTTTGTCAAATTATTTTTAACTATAAAAACACACACACACACACACACATATATATATATATATATATATATCACTACAACAAAAACAAGCTACGGCAACGTTTTTTTTATGGCATTTTTATTAAAACGCCATCATTGATCAATTAAAAATTAAAAACTACAGTGCTGTGTTAATTAAATTTCAAAACAGTGCTGTTGTGGGTACATATCTGACGCCGTTACATATCCTATCTCACTCTCTCCCTTCCTCTCACTCTTGCTCAAATTCACTCTCACTCTCACTCTCACTCTCACCTTCGCTCGAAGTCTCTCTCAATCTCAGTCTCACTTTCGCTCTCGCTCAAATTCTCTCTCACTCTCGGTCTCATTCTCATTCTCTGTACTCATTTCTTCATCAGATCTATGAAGTTTGTCGAACATTTGAAGGTTGATTCTTGAAGATTCGAAGGTTGATTCTCCAGATTTGCAGTTGTCTCTCACTCTCGCTCTCTGTCTTAGTCTCACTGTCGCTCTTGCTCGAATTCTCTCTCTCTCAGTCTCAGTCTCACTCTCTGTACTCATCTCTTCATCAGATCTATGAAGTTTGTCGAAGATTTGAAGGTTGATTCTTGAAGATTCGAAGGTTAATTCTCCAGATTTGCAGTTTCTCTCACTCTCGCTCTCGCTCGAATTCTCTCTGTCGCAGTCTTACTCTCGCTCTTGCTCGAATTTTCTCTCACACTCTCTGTACTCATCTCTTCATCAGATTCGAAGGTTGATTCTTGAAGATTCGAAGGTTGATTCTCCAGATTTGCAGTTGTCTCTTTCGATTTTGTGAGTTTCAATTTGTTTAGGTTTTTTATTTTTTAATAGATTTTTTATATTCTAACTCAGATCTGGCTTCTCATTTTTGATTTTCTGTTTTTATTAGATTCATCAGATTCGAAGGTTGATTCTTGAAGATTCGAAGGTTGATTCTCCAAATTTGCAGTTGTCTCTTTCGATTTTGTGAGTTTCAATTTGTTTAGGTTTTTTATTTTTAATAGATTTTTTACATTCTAACTCAGATCTGGCTTCTCACTTCTGATTTTTTGTTTTTATTAGATCTCATCGTTCATCAATTGGTCGATTAATCTACATGAAACCTGTTTGAGATTTGGCTTCTCAAATCTGTAAGTTTTTATTAGATCTCTCTCTCTCTCTCTTCTTTGTGTATATAGTTATATATATATGCTGTTAGAATTGCAATATTACTTGGGATTTGCTCTTTATTTTCAATCATAAAAATAAGGGAGCTATTTGAATCTGTATTGTAAAAACTAATGGCAGAGTGGAAAATTTGAGACCTCAGTTTAGAATTTAATTTTGAATATAGATTTGAGAATTTCTTGATTTGGTAAATATTGGAGCAAAATTCAATTTGGTGTAAATTTATGTCAAGGAGTTTAGGGTGTTCTGAGTGGGTTTTTTTTTAAAAAAAAAAAAATTCAAATTATTATTCAAGTTTATTTTATTTTAGTTTATTTTTTTATTTTTGGTTTCAAAGGAATCGGAAGTGATTGAAGTTTTCCTAATTGGAATGGTGTTGGGTTCATCATTGGTTTGAAATATATGAATAATATGCTCTGGCTTCATCACTGTTGCCACTCTGATTGTTAAGGACAATCTTTGATACTTTAATTCTGAATGATTTGAGTGCTAGCTTTCTCTTTATTCTCCATATGGGAGTTCTTCTTAGTGGGGAGAATTGATGAAGATTGATAAGGCAGCAATAATTGGGAGTTTGAGTTATTTAGGAGTTTAAATCTGTTCATGAGTTATTTTGAGTATATCTATTTATTTTTATTCGTTAGCCTTATATATACATAGTGTTGGTGTATGAATTTTATTAGATTGTGGCATAATTGAAGCTTAAAGCTTAAGTGAAACCTACTTTTATGTTGCTGCCAAGAGAATCGCATGTGTCAGAGCGAGTTTGTAAACCAAGGAAAACCAAGAATTATTTTTTGATGATTGCAGTTGGCATTGTGATTATATATCTGTCATGCTAGATGTTAATGGACTATTTCATTCTTTAAGTTCTTTAAGTATAAGATTCAATTACGGACAGATGAGCCATCAGTGGTGGCTCCAGAAAATTTGGTTAGGGTATTCAAAAACTTGAACTTAAATTAGAATTTGTATAAAAGGAATACACTTATCAGTGGTTATTTCCCACTACTAATAAATCTTCCAATTTGAACTTCTCAAATCACAAGCAAAATACTATTGAATAAATTATTTTCAATGTAAGTAACTAAACAATCTTCCAATTCGAGTTTATATTTGGTTTTTATAGTATTAGGCTTTTTCTTTTTTGTTTGAGGATTGTTTTTTGATCTTGAATATTACTCAAGTGGAATGTGAGTTGGGTGTGCAAAAATTGAAATCAACAAATTAGGTGTTCAAGATCTAAGAATTGGGTATTCAAAATCTTGATTCATTACTGATAAACATATATGAAACCTCAAAAAAAAAAAAAAAAAAAAAAAAAAGGGATTTTTTTTACAAAGCGTGAATTTGGGTGAGACTGTTCAAATTTTCCCATGCGAGCCATGGATGGATTTGTATCATTACTAGTGATTATTGGATATTGATCGTGCTTTAACAGTCGTTTTCATTCTATGAATTTAATCACTCTTTTGGTTGTGTTTATTGTTAATTTAGTCCATGAGGATCATACAGATGCTACAGCAGACACCTCAAACCAGGAAATGCACAGTACTGCACCTTTTCTCAGAAGTGAAGCCTCCAGTTCCTCGTTGCTCCCTGAAAATAGACAGTTCAATCTTGAAGTCTCATCTTTAAATATTCCAGTTGATCAAATGAAAACGATTCAAAACATTAACACATTAATTTCCGAGGTAGCATGTGTTCCATCTTTATATAGATTTCAGTTCACTTGTTTCTTGCAGGATGAACCTTTTTTATTTCATTTTTGTAAGGTTCTGATATCTATATTTTTCCCTTTTTCGTATTTGATATTTTTAATTTCCTGATGAAATAATCAAAGTAATATTATTGAGTATACTTTTAGAATTACCGAGTTCTGGACTTTGTGTTTGCAGTTAGCATTGGAGAAGGAAGAGTTGATGCAAGCATTGCTTGCTGAATCATCTAAAAGTTCCACACTGAAGGTAATGTTTGTCTTAATATATAAACGGTGTGTCTCTGGTTCAACTGTGGCAATATTGAAATGTTAGAACTGATTTGGGTTAAGGATGGTAGTATTGAAATGTTAATAGTCTGTGGGTGTTTGTTTTATGTTGATTGTAGGAACACCTTATTGCATATTATTCTGAGGACCAAGATCCACCATTAAATAAGCCTCACTGAAAGACCAATATTATTAAAACTGAGATACTTCAGTGAAGGTTTACAACCCTTGATATAAAATAATAATCCTATTCCTAACAAGACATAGAATAATGAACAAAAGTACCAACAATTGCAAATTTCTATTAGATTCAAACTGAGATACTATAAAGTATAAGAAAAGTGTCAAAAAAAAAATGAAAACTCCTAAATTAAGTCATAACTAAATTAAAACTTTCTAGAAAGGGGAACGAATATGAATTTGAGAGCCAAAATGAGAGACTTTGGTGGCTTAGGTCACGGTGAAGCAGTGAATTTTTGTTGTTGGGCTGTTCTGGCCCAAATTTGCAACTTTGACTGGATGCCTAAATTAACTGACATCGCATGTTCTATATCATATTTAGAATCAAAAGACATGGTGTAACATTTCACTTAATGTAATTTATAGTTATGAAATACATTATTGAAATCTGTGATTTCATTATTTTTGGGGTTAACATACAGCAAGATTTTAAGCTGGAGATTTTTGTGCATTTGATTGATCAATGTGATGCAGTGAAATGAAATCTTAGATGTCAATATTGGTGCTAATCGGCATACACTTGCAAATTCTGAACACCTTGGAGACAAGCCGACAACTCAGGTGGAAGTTTGGGTTGATGTGACCAGTTGTGAGAAGCAGCTTTTGGAACTGCTTGATGTAGTGAATTGCTATTTAGAGTATTGAGTATTGTTGTTAGATTTGCTTCTAGTTGTTAATTTGTATTGATGCTTAAAGCTGTTAATTTGTATTGATGCTTAAAGCTGTTAATTTTTATTGGTACTTTGGATTGAATAGTATGTCATCTTTGCTTCATTGGTATGTGTTGTTGCAAAAGCAACTGATGGGAACTGAGTTGGTCTGTTTTTTCAGTTTTATATGATAACACACACCCAAAAATAAATAAATAAATAAATAAATGGAGTTTTTGGTAAAAACGCCACTAAATGACGTCATTGTGACGTCATCTGTTACTAGCGGATGTTCCAACAATGTCAAAGATTTTACGGCGTTTTCAAAAACGCCGTCTAATAATTTTAGTGACGTTTTTCAAACGTTGCAAAGTTATTGCGGCGGCCGTATTAGCGACGAAACTATTAAACGTCGCTGTAACATTTGGTGGCATTTTTGAGGCTTTTGGCGGCGTTTTTGAAACGCCGCTAAAAATCTAATTTCCTGTAGTGTATATACATTTACAATTATCCCTGATTAAGTTTTATCTTTTAAAATTGTAGCCAAATAATCAAGAATGAGGAGGAACAAAAACTGGATTTCAATCTAAAATTCAGTTTTTATTTTATTTTATTATATTATTATTAACAATATCAAATACATTATTGATTGAACTAATAAAAAAATGGCGCACGGCCCATAAATTTAATTTTGGATTTGTTTTGTCCAAAATTTCAGGCGCTAAATTATTAAATCTATAATGACATTATTAAGTCATATGCTTTCTAAAAATATAATAGATAGTTCGTTTTCCTATCTGTATAGCATAAAACACCATTATTAAACTCAAGAGGTTGTGGCACTTTGGTAAGGTTTTGGGGTATAAGCCTTCAGGTCCCAAGTTCTAGACTTTCTGGGGCCAACTCCTAGGGGTTTGGTATAGTGGTTCTCGGACAACCCTCTTAAGTGCTGGACGAACTATATCTAAGACTTGGGTGTGAAGTCGAATCCTGGCAACTACACTCCTTGATTTAAATGGTGTGTCCCTTGTGGAGTCAGTGCACGCACCCGAGGTTTGCCCTTTGTCTTACTCCGATTAAACGAACATTAGGTAATTAATTCTGAAGTCGGCAAAAGACAAATTTGAGGAGTTTACTCATTAACTAAAAAAAAAACAACATTATTGAAGTGGGTTCTCTTTATTGTGTTTAATTAGAGAGATAAAAGAAGTGGGTTTTGTTGTGAGGCCGGACTAAAAAAAGAGAGATGATAAAGAGAGAGAGAGCTTAGAGTCCCATCACCATAGCCACTGAAGCAGTAGAGGCTACCGAAGACCACAGTGAGGATTGCTTCAGTGGTTATGGCGATGGGACTCTAAGCACTCTCTCTCTCTCTCTCTCTCTCTTTCTTCCAATGCGCGAAATCGCCAATGAGCACCACCATAACTACTGCTCGCCATTTCCCCAAACTTTTCCTTTCTCTCTCTAACAGTCTCTTTGTATTCTCTTTATCTCTATTGGGAGGGAGATGATAGAAACAGAGTAGAGATCTTTGAGGAGTATTTATGGAGTGTTTGTACTATTTTGGAAGTAAAGCGATCAAAGAATATCTTGTGTGAATCGATATCTAATCATCATCTTCACCTTCTTTTTAGTTCTCTCTCTCTCTCTCTCTCTCTCTCTCTATGCATGTGTATATAATTTGTTAAGAATGAATGCTGCTCTGCCTGAGTTTGTTCTAGACTTGGACGGTTCTGCGTTTTTCTATTTTTGTTTAGAGCCTAAAACAATGTTTATTTGTACAAATTATGGAACAAAATAAGTAAATATAATTTGGACAGATAGGTTCAATTTGTACAGATAAGAAAAAATAATGTAAAAAATAGGTTAAAAAAATCCATTAGATAAAATAAAAATTTGACCATATAAGTTACAATAATTGAACAGATAAGTTCAAAAAAATTAAACAAATCAAACAAAAATTGAAATAGATACGTTCAAAAAATTAAACACAATTTTAATAGATAAATTCAATTATTTTGATAGATGGATAAAAATTTAAACAGTGAGGTTTAAAAATCAAACAGATAAAAAATTTGAACAGTTAGATTAAAAAAAATTCGATAGATATGTGTTAATGGACTTGTAACTAACAAGACTTTATCACCAAAAAAGAATTTCACTTGAATCTAATGCCTTATGCCTCTTTAAATTGAACTTTTCACCAATTTTCTTTATAAAAAAATTGTGAATACTTACAATAAAATTATTAATTATTGCCCTTGGGGAGTGGGTTAGTAGAGGAAAGGGTCGTCCCAAAAATGCTTTCAACCCGGGTTTAACTCTCCATTGTCCCTCAGTGTGGCACTTTTAAATGTTGCCTCAAGTAATTTCTTAGCTTGGGCTGGAGTTTGGTGAAGCCTGCGTCAGCCCACCCCCTTTCCTCCCCTCCCTCTTTTTTTTTTCATCAAAAAAAAAATATATTATTCATTCCTACAAAAATAAGAAGTCAATTAAAATAGTGTTGTACTCATATTCAAATCCATTAAAAATTCAATAAATCCAAACTAACTCAGCTTAATCTGCCGTATACAAAATGAACCAAAAATTCAAATTGCCAATCAAATTTAGTTATATAAAAAAAAAAAACATACATATAGAAAATTTACGAAATAAAGTTACTCGAGTGATGCTTTAAAATGCTTTAAAACTTGGGAATTTGATCCATAAATCTAATTTTGAATTTTCAATACTCAAAGGTCTACACTCCAAAATACTTTGTCTATAAGGACAACTACTTGCAAAATGACCAAACTACCTGTGTATATCTATACTATTATTAAAAAGCCAACAGGAATTCTGGTGTCCTGAAGCCTTGCCTAGAATTTTTTTTCCCATTTTCCCTAAAATAACCATAACTTCTTAAATAATTACATTAATTTTACACTAATATCAGTTTGTAATTAAGGGTAATATGATAAATTCAAACCAACCAATTCCAACCCCCACGTTTTCAAACTGCACAGCAGTTCTAAATCAGTTTCAACAATGGTAAGAGAGAAGGGCTTTCAAACTACACAAAGGTTTGCGCCATGTTGAACATCCCATTTTCTCCGGAAAAATTAAACAAAAGAAAGTAAGTAATTGAGATTATTATCTCTCTCAGATACACCTACGTGTCCTCATTCTCTTCCCTCATCTTTGTAATTTTCTTTACTCTCAAGCAATCAAAAATTTTGGTTCATACTCCACAAATCTCTTCCAAGTGTTATTTGAGTGGCTTGCAATCTCCTGTTTGGTGCCCTCTCTCATCATGAAATGTGCAACGGTACCTTGGGTTATATCCCCATTGTGTCTCACCCAGCTTCACCGGCCACTAAACGTATGCCTTTTCGTAGATTTCAGTCAAGATACGATAAATCGGTATCTTGAAGACTGTAGTGATACCTATTTGGACTTTCAATTTTCTTCTGCCATCTTCATTCTCGTCGCAGGGATTGTTAGCTTAGTCATTGTTACGATTTTGGTTTCGGTTATTGCGGTTATGGTTCTATTCTCTTCCGCAATTGTTCGGACGGTTATCCCCCTATCCGACTGCATGAATTTTCCCCACAACTCTTTTTTCTATCACCATTGGATTTGGCTTCAAGATAGTCCTGGCTAGGTCATCCTCAACTATGTGCTCGTTGATTCTTTGTATCAACAACTCCATCGTTGAGGGTTGATTCATTGTAAACCTCGCTTGTATTGAGCTATTGCCAAGTTGGTGGGACATTCATGAATCTTGTTGAATTTTTACCAATATCTAGCATTGTACGCCTTCAGCGAATCCCCTTGTTCCATTTTTACTACTAAAAGATGATTGACTTCCTTTAGCGTTTTCGTGTTGATCTTAAACCTGGTGACAAATGCCTCCCCCAACTGTTGCCACCTCTCGATTATTTCCTCCAACAACCCCTCAAACCATTTCAGGCCCAACTCGCCCAAACTCGATGAGAAAAGAAGGCACATTAAGGTGCCATCTGTGGAAATCGAACCCTCAAATCGTTTCAGGCCCAACTCACTCAAACTTGTGAATTTTCTATTTTTTTCTTTATTATTGTTCAACTTTCAAATTCATCACTTTATTTTTTGTTATTGTTATTGTTGTTTATTGCAATATATATATATATATATATATATATATATTTTTAACAGATAGAAAAAAAGTTTAGCAACAAAAAAAGAAAAAAAGAAAAAATTGTTGATTGCAACAGTTTGTAACCTTCTTGTTGATTGTAATAGATAAAAAAAAATATAAAATTTGATAGTTAGTACCTCTCTCTCCCCTTTCTCTATGTATATCTGTGTTTGTGAATCTGAACAAATCACTCTCTTCTCTCTCCAAAAGGCTCATATCTGTTAAAAAATTAAATAGATAAGTTGAGATAAAACATGAACAGAAAGGAAAATAATTTGAACATATAGATATAAATTTGAACAAATAGAAAATAATTTAAACAAATAGTCAAATTTTAAATAGATAAAAAAAAAAGTCAACAGATAAATTAAGGGGTAAAATTGAAAACAAAATGTCTTCCAAAATAATA